CTACACTTGTTTCGTGCTCTTTTGAATCTGGCAATAAATTGAATAGCCTTCTCATCAGGCCTTTGAGTCAACCTTGCCAAATCTTTCATAAAAACTTCTGCCCCCGTTTGGAAGAATTGGGCATGAAATGCCTCATCCATTTGCTACCAAGTTTGGATAGAGCCAGTTGTAAGGTTAATATACCATACAAAAGCTGCGCCAGTTAGAGAATTTGGAAAAAGTCTTAACTTCATGTAATCATTATTGGTAAATTCACCACATTAGGCAGCGAACCTAGCAATGTGTTCTACTGTTGACTGGTTTTCATTCCCATAAAAAAGAGCAAAGTCTGGTATTCTAAACCCCCTTGGGTATTCATGCACCCTATCTACCCATTCTGGGTATGGCTTTCTATACACAGGAGTTTGAACCCCCCGAGCCATAGGTCCACACATTTCTCTGACAATATCAGCAATTTGGTCCCTATGAACCATATTTTGTGCTTATTAGACTACCACTGGAGGAACAAACACAGGATTAGGTGGAAAACCTTGTGCCTGAGATCCTCTTGGTCCATAGGGAGGAATATTTGGGACTGGCTGTCCCTGTGGTACTGGCTGCTGTTGAGGGTATGGTTGACCTCTCTGAGCCTGTCCTACGAAAGGACCTACAAACGGTGTTGTAATAGGAGGAACAGGTGTTGTTTCTCTTCCAGCCACAGGAAACCCTTTCAACCCCTCGGGTGTGAATTCGAACAAGGGATTACAGAACCCTCTTGTGCTAGGTATGGCTTTGAACATGGGATTTGGAAACATTCTCATGCCATTTTCTTGTGTTGGCCCAGATCCACCAATTTGTATGGCTTCGCTGTTAGGTAATGAGGAATTTTGATTTACCATAGGCCTCGAAAGAGGCTCATACCAAGACTGAGGTATAGGTGAAGGTCTTTTATAATTTTGATTACTAGTCTAACCATTAGTATGTCCATTACTTTGCATAGGCTATTTATCTCTAGCCAATCTTTGCTGAAGAACATTTGAATTTTCCTCCATATGCCATGTGTTAGTTGGTTGATGGGAATTCATCCGATCCATAAAGGATATTGCCCATTTTTTCATTGTGTTCATTAACTGATGTCCCATGGCATCTACTAGGCCTCCCCATGGATTCATTAGCTGAGTAGATGGAACAGTGGATGGTCCAATTCCATGGCCTCGTCCAATATTTTGAACATGTGGTGCATGTTCTGAATTACTAGTCTGTTCGACCATAGGTTCTGATGAGATAGGTGCTTCTATAGGATGTGTTATCACATTATCCTCTTAATCAGGTACCTCTACCTCTCCTTCCACACCTTTTTCCAAGCGTTCATTTTCTCCTTGTCTCCTACGTTTAGCTATTTCAATTAGTCCCACTAGGCGTGCCAAAAATATATGTTGGCTTTTTTGGCTTTCAAAGGTTAGTATTGTAATTTTAAGCATGCCAGCAAGGATCAATCAGTCCTCACAGAAGATTAATTGCCAACCAATTATCAGATGATTGTGTTTTAGTTCTTTCAGCCTCAATGAAGATGACTTTTACTGATGGCTTGTTTAGGAGAATTTAGTAAATAACAACTAAGTGAAGAATACTTTCAGAATTTCATTAAGTAAAATGAAAAACTTACAATGATCTGACCCAACCTTGTAAAGATTTACAGCAACAAGCTATTTGAAACTACGTCTATAAATGAAGTGCAGTACAGGAATTTCAAGTACAGAAATGTAAAGAACTGTAAAAACTGGAAGGAAAAATAAAGTAAACTCTCACAATCAGTCCCACTACACCACATTTGCAGTCAAGCTTCCCTCCTGATTTTGAATTTGAACCTTGTGAGTAACCGTTGGGCCACATCACCTTGTATCCCTCGATCATTCCAGTGCTACACAGACCCATTATTACCAATATGGGCTAATACGTGTCTGACTATGGTTGGTAACTTTTATTAACTCACAAATTGCCCTTTTCATACCACGTGTTGAATTGCGATTAGCTTATACAAATTATATAGCCAACAAATACATAACACTAAAACCACATCAGTAAAAGTGTATGAGTATACCAAACATGTAATGTTTATTAGTCAAAATGCTTAGTATGTTTATTTTAGTACAACTCACATTCACTAACTACATATAGCTAACCTTCAAGGTTAGACAAAATGTGTTTAATTATTAGGATCATTTCCTTTCATCTTTATTGTTGATGTGGCATTTTATAAAGTTAATAGTGTTTGGATGAATAACTAAAATAAAGAATATGATTAGAGTAAAAACATGAAACAGTTGATAGGTAAAATAAAATGTATATTTTATAATAGACAATGGCTTGCCTCCAGTCCACCATATGGACTTGAGGGTCTAGTCTAGCCCATTGAGCGCATTTTTAGGTCCCTTTTCGATAATCTGAACCGTTTATATTTTAAGATTTGTTGAATACATTATCCCTGTAAAAAATCACATCGATTGGATAACAGATATTATGTATTCGAATCACTTTTTTTTGAATCGTTAATTTTCTAACCGTCAATTTTTTTTAGAGAAAAGTGATCCGAATACATAATATCCGTTATCCGATTGATATAATTTTTTACAGAAATAATGTACTCAACAGACCCTAAAATGTGAACAGTTCAGATTACCAAAAAGGATCCAAAAGTGAGCCAAATGGACCGAACTGAACCAAACTATCCCAGATCTAAACTGAAAACAGCCCAAGCCTTTTATAATAATATTTAAATAGATAAAATACTTATTATCGTTGGAGATGTGCACAAATAGAGATGTGGCATATTGTGATTGAGGAAGGAAAAAAAAAACGCAAAGCATGTGATTTGCTGTTGGACGTGTCAAATTCATATCAACCACCAACTTGGAACATTTAAAAGTCCTTTTTTGAATTTTTTTTTTTTTTTTTTTTTTTGGGGGGGGGGGGGGTAACTGAACCAAACTATCCCAGATCTAAACTGAAAACAGCCCAAGCCTTTTATAATAATATTTAAATAAATAAAATACTTATTATCGTTGGAGATGTGCACAAATAGAGATGTGGCATATTGTGATTGAGGAAGGAAAAAAAAGCCGCAAAGCATGTGATTTGCTGTTGGACGTGTCAAATTCATATCAACCACCAACTTGGAACATTTAAAAGTCCTTTTTTGAATTTTTTTTTTTTTTTTTTTTTGGGGGGGGGGGGGTTTTTTTTAAAAAAAATTGTCAATTTTTTTTTTTATTTTCCTGTCCTTTGTGTAATGTAATTTTTTTGACAGATTCTAAAAAATATATATATATTTGAAAAAGCCAAAATAGTATTAAAAAAGTCTACTATTTTTTGCTTATTTTTGTCTTTTTTGAATTTTTTTTTTTTTTTGAAATTTTCTAGATCATCTAGTCAAGTTAAATATAGTAATCTAACATTTTTTGAAATTTTTTTAAAAAAAGTTCACTAAATACTAAACAATTATAATGTGTCTATTTTTAAAAACTTTAAAAATATAAAGTATTTTTACAATTATTAAAAATATAAAATATACATAAGAGTTCTTTTTTTTTTTTACTATTATAAAAACAAACTTTAATTTTTAATTGTTATATACTGCATACAAATTCTAAAAATATTCTTTTTATGGACTTTTTAATATTGGAGAATTATATGTAGATGGGAGAAAGAAAAAAAATAACTTACACATTGTACCCTCACAGTCTTTCATTTGCACCCTATCACAGATGCACTTGCAATCCTCATGTATTAGTAATTTTTTTCGTTTCTCCCACCTACATGTAGTTTCTCCTTTAAATATCTCTCCCTTCAAATATCTTGATGGCTAGTCTATCTCCAACTCCCTTAAGTTGGTTCTTTTTTGGAGGAATTAACCTTAACCATAACCTTAACACCTATGCTCTCCCCACATCCTCCAGCCAACCCATCTCCTTCCCCAGGCTCTGTTGTAGTCCCTTCTTCCTTTTTCGACCACCGTCATCAGCCCCCTTCTGTTTTCCAACCGCTACCACCAACCCCCTCTTCCCTCCTTGACCACTGTTGCTACTGCCTTTTCAGTTTCAGATTGAATTTCTAACCATAATCGTTGTTCTCGTAGTAATAAAATACAAAGCATACAAAATCAAAGCTATTTCAATGCAAGACTTTGAAATTCATTCCATCTCTTGCCAAAACAAAAGAACGGCATCAGCAGGATTTGTTCTGTTTATATATTTGATATGCATATGTATATACAATGTATATATCGTGGATTTATAATAAATAATTTTTAATATGCATATGTATATATATAATGTATATATCATGGATTTAGAATAAATAATTAGAAATTTAGTGTTAGTTTGGGATTTCATTTAATTAATGCTTTGTTTCTTGTAAGAATTACTCATATATCTCTCTTCAACTTCTCAACTTTCCCCACTGAATGTTTTATGATAAAAAATTCCTAATGAATCTATATCCTAGCTGAGGCCCTTGTGACCGAGTAACAGTAATCGCACCTTAAGGTACCGCGAGTGAAAGGTCTGCAGTTCGAATTGATAGATCAGCAACGGCCTCTTTAAGTCGTAACCTAGCATACTAACATTCTATTTGTGACCCCAAAATAAGTCTATATCCTAAGTTGATACACGTTTTCTTTGCAAAAAATAAATAATAAGTAACATCTTCCAGATTTCATCATGTGTGAACCAAAATTTTTTATAAATTCTAAATTTTGTTAATTTAAACTCTAAAATTTTAATTTTTTTTCAATCTAAACTAATTATTTATTTTCGTTAAAGACAATTGACTGAAAAAAAGATAGTTTAGCATGCCATACATGTCAGATGGAGAGTCCTAAGAGATTGCTTTACTCATATTACTCTAGCTATATTTTCTGTAACAGGTTCTGTAGTTGGTTCCTTCTATAGAATTATTGTAAGAAAACCCCCCATGAGGGCTGGAAAGAAATTAAACAAATAAACAAATAAATAAAACCAAAATTGATGTCATTGCCTTAGGCTGAGCAGTCGCTCTGTTTTCATAAATTTCAATGCCAAGCATCCAACAAGAAGATTTGCATTAAATATTTGTTATTATCAGTATAAATTATTTATTCAAAAAAAAAAAAAAGGACTTCCACAAAAATACAGCAAAGGAAGTATTGCTCTATACATGAACATATTGACGGCATATGAACAAAGATTTTAAACCTGAAACTTATTTAGGGTTACATATGCTTATCTGCCACTAGACGAACCTTATTCAAAGATTCCTTGAATGCTTGCCAAGCTGCCATGTAATGATCTTGAGATCTCATCCCCTCCTCAACAACTTGTACTGCTTTTTTACACAAGTGATCATACCACTGAACCGGATTAGTTATATCGATGCTATTGGATCCAAGATCAAGTACATACAAGCGCTCCATATCCTTTCTCCATCGCGGCAGAATGTACTGTACTGGGATTTCCTCAACACCATTGTATGTAAGAACACACAATGCATGTCGGCATAGATAACCTTCGAAGTTGAAGCAACTACAAATGCAGCGAACTTCTAATCCCGCTTTCTCATACATAACTTCGAAATTTTTGATTCCTCTTAGATTACCATCTTCCTCCCTTTCTTTGACCATGTACGTGACAATCGGCCCATTGGCATGAATTTGTGTTATGCTTAAACAAGAAGCCATCATATCCACTTCCTCTTGGAACTTTAAGAACAATTCTTTTGTATACACTTTTGAGAGCTGTGATTCATATGGGCATCCTGTTTTTAACATGGGGATGGACTCTTTTGACTCAAAATCATCTAGAGATTCCTTTTCATACTTTTTTTGCAGAACCAATTCATACATGTCAAAAAATTCTTTCAAAGAGGTTTCTTTATGGACATACCCATCAAAAAATAGGTTCATCAACGCACCTGGTTGAGAAGCAAACATTCCTGCGAAAACTGTCTCTTTCGAGTAAACTGGAGCCCATCGCTCTCGATCTTCATATAAAGTTTGAAGCCAATTGTGATCCTTAATTCCAAAACGCTGGATCATATCCTCCCAAGCTATTTCAAATTCATCCACTTTGACAGAGTTGTGAACAATTCTACCCAATACAGTCCGGAATTCTTCAGATTCCCGTAGTTGCCCCAAATTCTCGAGAATGTTTTGCATGACAAGTGACAAACAAAGCCGATGGTGAGCCCTAGGAAAAACCTCTGCAATTGCAGTTTGCAATGCCTTACACTGGTCTGTGAGGATGGTTTGAGGAGGACGTCCCAACATGCATGTTAGCCATGTCCTCAATAACCAAACATATGTTTCTAGGGTTTCATCTGCAAGCAGACCACAACCAAGCAAAATTGACTGCCCATGGTGATTTACTCCGACAAAAGACACAAGAGGAACCTCATATTTGCTTGACATGCATGTCGTGTCAAGTGCAACGACATCACCAAAATACCCATATGCAGCCCTAGACCTAGGTTCAATCCAAAACAAGTGCCTCAAATGGCCTTCATCGTTGATGTCCATCACATAGAAAAAGTTAGGATTTGTTAGCTGCAAACGACAAAAATAATTGTGAATAACTTGTGCATCTCCTTTTTTGAGCTTCAATCGCTTGGACTCATCAACATGGTTACTGACTTCTCTTTCACTCGAGCTACCATAACCTGCAGTATCTACGACCGGGGTTCTGTACAACTTGATTGTTCGTACTTCGACGTCAATAGATGGCTCCAACTTTCTTTTGGCTCCAGCATCCATCTTCTTGTGTGACTTGGAGTTTTGAGCCCTTTCAGGATCGAATAAATGGTTGTGTTCAAGCTTAACTTCATCGACTCTCCACCTATTGGATTCCACCAACCTCAACCTTATCATTGCTAGACAACCAGTTCTAGTTTCCTTCCTTCGAGTGCTTGCCTCTTTTATAGTTTTGAAACCCTCGCAATTACAACAGAGTACCGCACCACGCTTCTCTCTGCTGTTACGTTTTGTCCATGAAGATTTGACCCTGATGGCAAATCCCAGCTCCTTGGCATAGCAGTTATAATAATTATAAGCATCATCATATGACTCAAACTCCAACCCCACAACTGGTGGATGATAACCCTTTACACCATTTTGATCAATTGTTGTATCACAATCTCCTCCATCCTCATGATAATTGCTTTCAATCTCGAGCATTTGATCACTATTGTTTTCATTGTGGTTGCTTTCTATCCTAAGCACTTGATCATTGCTTCCAAATTCAAGCACTTGATCACCGTCTTTCTGAAGGTCATTGCTTTCAATCCCAAGAACTGGCCCCCTGCCAGGGTCATCGCTTTCAATCCTAAACACTTCTTCACTGTCAATTTCATGCTCACTGCCCTCTTCCTCAAGCGGTTGCTCACTGTTTTCAGAACCTTCTTCAATCTGGAATGAGAAACAAACCGCCGATGTTATTTATTCATTTATTATATCTGGAATTGAGTAGAAGAATAAGAAGAACCAACAATACTCACTGTTAGTGATCAACAACATCACCAAATAGAACATGAACAGCAAGAATAAAAATAATCATTAACAACAACTCAACAAGAAAAGTAGCAAACCAAAAAAACAAGATATATGATGGAAAAGATAATGCCAATCAAGTGCATGTTTTACCAAATGTTTTTTCTTTTCTTTTCCTTTTTTCCCATTGAGGGGTGTCTTTGAATCTTTTTTAGCCAAGAACTTGACTGGCTGAGCGAGCATCAGTGGACTCCAAGCAAGAAATATTTATCTTGTCATATAATCTAGTAAATGAAACTGAAATTGGTTGTAATTTGTCATTGACAATCATGTATGATTTAACAAAGTAGAATTACTACTTTCCCATATATACTCCTAGACTAGTGACATGTTGATAGTCATCACTTTCACCAAACGTTCTTGGCATGTTATCGAAGTGAAGGAATGTTTTTGGTAGTTAAAAATGACAGTATGAACTCTTGAACTTCATTGATTTTTGCTTGAACGCTCTTTTATCTGACTCTTTGAAACCCTGAATATATCAACTCTGTGCCATTCTTGTGAATCTGACTGATCTAGCACACACCCAGAAATCTCATCTAAATTCCTATCAGCCATTTTCTCTGCTGATCCAGTCATCCAGCATATCCATTTCTTTGCTGCTTCATCCATTTTCCATTCAGCATATCTGCTGTTCCAGTAATTCTGTTTTCCAATTTGAACTTGGAAGTCTTCATCACTAAGACTGCCAATCAGTTAATCCAAGTAATTTAATCCACATTGACTAGAGTGAGTCTCATAAATTCACTAGCTCAGCTTAGTCAAAGCCAACACTTGATACACTAATCCTTAACCTGAGTCACATTTCAAATTTAATTTGAAAAAGCTTGACATCCCAAACATAAGGTTCACATTTTCAGTCTGAATGAACTGAACATTAATTGACTGGATTACAACAGTTTGCGTGGAGCTAAGAAGCACGGACACTTCTAAAAAGATGAAGTATATGTGTCGTGTCCATATCGGACACCGACAGTCTTTGGACACTTTCCCAACACGTGTCCGACACTCTTCAAAACGTGTCCTATTTTTTAATATTTTTTAAAGACCCAGACACTCCTTGAACACTTGGATGACACACGTGTGTATCTTTTAAACACACGTGTCTATCGATTAAACACATGTGAAACTAATTATAAGTTTGAACAAAATTACTTAAGATACAATAATAAAACAAAAACCATATATTTATAAGGATTAGTATCATATTGCATTTTTTATTATCTTTGACTGATATATTCACATATATAACATATAATAAATATATAAAATTTAATATTTAATGCTTGTCGTGTCCTGTATTTTTTGAAAATTAAGGTGTCGGCATGTCCGTATCGTATCCATGTCATGTCACGTGTCCAGATCCATGCTTCTTAGGCGTGAAGACCTCTTGTCCAAATCAGACTTGCACAAGCATTACTGTCTTATAATAATACCAGGTTAACTCCAAGATCGCCAAAATTATATATATCTAAAATTTATTGCAAAAAATAAATCATGCAAATTTCAGTAAAATCATCCTACTTGTCAAAAATTATATAACAAGTGCCAAATGCATAGAAGTACTAATCAGCAGATAGAAACAAATCCATCCATAGTACAAATCTTCTGCTACAATTTGTTCCTTATCAATTAATTTCCCACACATCTTGAATAAAGGATATCACATAGTGAACTTTGGTTGTTAACCAGATTGAAGTTACCAGCGGAGTACTGAAACTCCTCACAGTTCATGTGTTGGAGCCCATATAGTAGACAAAATAACAAACGACAATTGTCGTTGGTGAAAACTGTATGATTACAACTTGTGATGAATCATTACACAAAATTTTTGTCTAAAGCCTCCACCACGTTTATGTTAAGTACACACCAAAAAGAGTAATTATTAATAAGTCGATGGACACAAAACCAACCACACAATATAGGTAGAACAATTTGAGTGTAATTGTATATTTTATAATGGACCTCAGACCCCACCATCTGATATGTATGGTTAGGATTGTTTTATGTGGTTGGTTTTATGTCCATAGTCTTATTGAGGATGTTAGGTTTTATTTCTTAGCAATCCCGTTTGACAGAACTCCTTTCAGTTGTATTTATTTTCGCACTTTTTATTTCAGTGAGACTATGAGTGTTTAGATGCGAATCCAATCTGAATTGTGCCTTTCAGAGAAGTTTATGATGCTAATACTTTCAAGATTGCTACTTCGCTGATTATGACGGGGATCGAGCTGCCCGGTCAGCTCGCGGGGGTCCAGGGGACAGCGCCCCTTGGCGGGTCCGGGGCAGCGCCACGGCGGGGTCGAGGGGCAGCGCCCCCGAAGCAAAATGCAAAAATGCATTCAAAGTTGCCTGTCCGATCATGTTATATTTTTTCCCGTTTTTTCCAGTTTTGGCTTTCCCACTCGAGCGGGGAAAAGGGCGCTCGAGCGGGGTTTACAAGCTCACAGTATATCTGCTACGCCTGAAAAAGTACTGGATGGTGTGATTCGCCGCTCGAGCGTGGAGCCTGTATGAAATCACAGAATTTGAAGTCTCCGCTCGAGCGGGAAAACCCACGCTCGAGCGGACCGCGTGATCCCAGATTTCCAGATTTGTTAAGGAGTTGGTTTTCTTCTGAAACTAGGATTGCTTTGATTTTCTATAAATAGTTGGTTTTCTCCCAACACTAGATAACTTCTCCATATCTTATTTTTGGATCTTAAGGTTTATATCTGAAGATATTTTGCTAGTTTCTTTGATGTTTTATTGAGTATTCAAACTCATGGTTTAAAGAGAGTACATCAAAGGTTGTGTTTTGTTCTACAAAAGAGAGAGTTGTTCTTCGGTGGATTCTGAAGAATTCGAGCCTGAAGCTTTGGTGGATTCCGAGGTGGCTCATCGTAAAGACAATTCCGAGGTGAAGACGGGTTGGAAGAGGCACATAGAGGTTGATTCAATTAGGCGTGGATTCGCTAGGTAATTGAGAGTATACCTGTGTAATTCCTTTAAATCTTCTTAGTGGATTGTTTTGTGGCTGTTTGCCCGTGGTTTTTTTATCACAGTTGGAGGTGTCCAATTGTGGTTTTTTCCACGTAAAATCGTTGTGTCTCTTTGCCTTGATTGTTTGATTGGGATTGTTATATTCTGCTTTAAATTGATACATAATCACAAATCAATATCTAGGGGGGATTTCTAGATTTTTCAGAGGAGTTTTATTTGACAAAATTTCTTTCTTTTAGCTTATCCTCAAATCTAATATGCTTCCCCTCCCCAAACTTCATAGAATACAATAACAACATTTTATATGTCACACATCATATGTGTTATTAACATCATTGAACTCAAAATTAAAGGTTCAAATTAGGTCTTACATTCAATGCTCTATGTTATAAACTAGCCATAGCATTCTCCAATTTCATTTCCACATATTGGTGCTTGAAACTTATTATAATTAAAAGCATAAGCCAAAAGCATCCCTCCCCCAACTTTTAGAAGTCAACTTTTTTCAACTTATTTAAGCTATTTCCGCCTAATAAGCCATACGCAGAAGCTGCACCAAACAGGTCTGGCAAAACTCCATACTAAAAAAAGTTAAAAACAACTTAGATAAGCTCCACCAAACAACCCTATTATCCTACAATTCTTCATAAGCTGCCTACATATTTTTGAGAATTTGTCCCCTAATTCGAATATATGAGCCCAATTATCCATGACCCTCACTAAGATGTATTATCTTACTTTATCAAGCCCAGCTGAGAAACCACAGGAACAGCAAATAAAGGTTAAAGATCGAAAATTATGAGTTTTCAACTGGACTTGGTCGGTATTAAATCAATCGGGTCGGTCAAATTTAGTTTTCAGTACATTTGAACTCTCAGTACCAATTTTTTCTCTTTTTATTTTCTTCTTCTAATTCCGGATAGGGACTGAACAGCAGAAACTAAAGTCCTGCAATTCGTCAATTTTCTCAGGAAACAAACAGAGGGTTCTTCGCGTGTGCATTATCAACTCAAATGGTGAAAAAAATGGAATCTTTGAAAAGCTAAAACAGAGAGTAGAGAAATTAGAAGAAGAAAAAGAAGAAGAGAATTGGGAAGACTTACGGTGATATCGAGATCTGGGGTAGGCGATAAGGGCTCGTCGGTGGGAGAAAAGCCGCCGGACATGGTTGCGGAGAGGCGTTTTGACGGCGGGTTGTGTCGCAGTCTAGTTTTACCCTACCCCCACCCCCACCGCCACCACACCAGCTCTTCGTCCTTTTTGTAAGGGCAAATTACATATACACCCCTCGAGGTTTGGTTAAATTACAGATACCCCTGAGGTTTCGGAAATTACATCCCGCCCCCTGAGGTTTGTATTTTCATAACAATTTGCCCCCTGAGGTTTATATTTCATAACAAATTACCCCCTAATTTCTTATGCAAATATGACATTCAGGGGGGAATTCGTAATTTCTCAAACCTCAGGGGCATCTGTAATTTAGCCAAACCTCGAGGGGTGTATATGTAATTTGCCCTTTTTGTAAACACCAACGATTGGTCTCATTAAAAATATCACCACTAATAGCACTAATACATTAAAAAAAATAAAAAAATAAAAAAATACAATTCCAAGATTAAAATATCACATTATTAATAATGGGATCCACTGTCACCTAATTAGTGGGCACACTAATTAATGCTCCAAAACATTTTTCTTTTATAAATGACAACGAGGGCAATGCGATGGGCCTTGCTTGTTAGTGGTGGCTGGAGCTTGGTCCGTTTATTTATTTATTAAAGTCTCGTTTTTTTTTAGTAATTTTTAAATTTTTTTGATTAAAATATGATTAAAAAAATTAACATGTTAGTAATGATTTTTTAATTTTTTATAAAAAAAAATGTGTAAAAAATAATGAGAAAATAAAATTTTTAATTTTTTAATATAAATTATTAATTTTTTAATTTTTTTAATAACTTTTTGACTTTTAGCTTAAAAAGTAATATAGTCAAACAATTGTTTTGAGATGAGTTATTTTTTAGATTTTTTTATTATTTTAATTTGATTTAAAATATTATATTTGAGATAAAATTTAATTTTTTTTATATAATTGATGTGATAATTGTTGTGAAAGAAAAAAATAAAATAATTATAATTTAAATATAATATTTTATTTTATTAATTAAATTAACATGTTTTGTTTTTATTAACTAATTTAACCAAAATAAGGCATGTCAAACGAAGCCGGCTTTGAACTTGTTAACTTATAATAATTAAAAAATTAATAAAAACAAAGTATATAATGAGAAAGAAATAAAACACAACAATAAAAGGTATTAAATTTTTTTTCATTAATCTCACTGTATAAAGATATTATATAATCATTAGGTCCAATGTTTGATTGATTTCAAAATTCATTTATTAACTTCTCCTAACTCCCAAGTCTTATCCTCATAATAACACTTTAATGCATTAAGAACAAGTATAAAAAACAAAAAAAAAATCTTTGAAATCCAACACATATGAATTCCTTGAAAAGTCCCAACACATATGATTATTATCCATTATAATAACACTTTAATGCATTAAGAACAAGTATAAAAAAAATTTCTTTGAAATCCAACACATATGAATTCTTTGAAAAGTCCCAACACATATGATTATTATCCCTCATAATAACACTTTAATGCATTAAGAACAAGCATAAAAAAAATTTCTTGAAAAGTCCAACACATATGATTATTATTAAAATATTAAACTTTAATATAATATAATAAAAAAAAGACATTTATTCCTTGAAAAGTCCAATACATATAATTATTATCAAAATATTAAACTTTAATATAATATAAAAAAAATAAGACATTTAAAAAAAAATCATTTAAAAATCACAATTCACATATATAGATAATTGTAAACACAATTCGTGCATAACACGAGTGATTTGCTAATCTATACTATATATTAAGCAAAATGGTATGGACTTTGTGCCAGACAGATTTGGGCCGGGCAGAGTTGTGCCGGACAGATTTGGGCCGGATAGAGTTGTGCCGGACAGATTTGGGCCGAACAGAGTTGTGCCGGACAGATTTGGGCCGGGCAGAGTTTGGACTGAGTGTGTGCCACCCCGGACCGAACAGAAACTGCTCGGCCAGGAAGTGACCGGTCGAACCAGGATGCTCGGTCCGGGGATGGTCGAAGCCAGACAGACCGAGTGACCGGCGCCCGGAAAGGCGTGGTCAGCCGAGGTAGTTGACTGACCGGCAGGAAGGCCGACCAAAGGAGGTACCCAGGCTAGGCTTTGCCGGGATGCCGCCTAGCCCGGTCCTTCATGTGTTTGTCCGGTTAGGCGCATGGGTATGAAGCATGGCATGGCCGTGGTAGAGCAGCTCGGCTGCCGAGCTCCAGCTGTGAAGTCAGGCAGTTGAGATTAGGTGATGTTCAGCAAGGTCTATGCTGACAGATGGGATAGCAGAGCCACGTGTCAGGAGATGACTGGGAGTGGGTAAGGGGCTCAGAAGGTATATAGGCATGTCTGCGCCCCCCATACGCAACACACGAACACTCTGTAAGGAATTTCTTACACTCAAACACTCTCTCCCTTCTCTCTATCCATCCTAAGGTGTGTGCTAACTTGATCGTCGGAGGGTTTTTCCGGCCACACACCGCCGGGTAGCTCACCGTTACTTGCTCGCAGGTGATCGGACATCGACGGAGCTCGGAAGAAAGGAATACGGGCACGCCGGAATATTTGCTCCCCGTACAAACACTCACAAAGAAAAAAAATATAATTGTAATGTAATGTGATTGTAGTTTGTTCAATGGCTCTTTTTTTTAATATGATTGTTGTAATTAGTTCAATGGTTTTTTTTTTAATGTTATTTAATCTTTTTATTTACTATTTTAATTTTATTTTTAATATGATTGAAATTAGATAAACAGACAGTTTATTCCAGACTTTTCCAAACTGGCCAAGCCGATGACTCATCTAACACAAAAAGGGATAAAATACGATTGGGATGAAACGTGTGAATGATCCTTTCAAAAACTCAAGAGGAGATTGACTAGTGCCCTAATACTCATCATTTCGAAACGAGACGTAGAATATACAATGTATTGCAACACGTCTAAGGATACGTTAGGTTATGTGTTAATGCAAAATGGGAAGGTGGTGGCTTATGACTCCAGGCAACTAAAACCGCATGAAATGAATTATTCGACACACGATCTAGAGTTGGCAGCGATGGTTTTTGAACTAAAGCAATGGCGTCATTATCTGTATGGTGAACAATTTGAGATTTTCACAGACCATAAGAGCTTGAAGTATTTGTTCACTCAGAAAGACTTGAACATGAGACAAAGACGATGACTAGAATATCTTGAAGATTACCATTTTACTCTATCTTATCATCCTAGCAAAGCTAATGTGGTGGCAAATGCCCTGAGTCACAAGAACCAGGGAATTATTACTAGTCTGGCACTCAAGGAACGGAACATGGTCAGAACATTTAATGAGTTCGAAGTACAAATGAAAGCTCAAAATGATAAGCTATACCTTGGTGCTTAAATCACTACACCCAAATTACTGAACGAGGTAATAGAGTCACAGAAGTATGATCAAAAGGTGGCATTCATAAAAGCGCAAATAGCATTCGGCGATCCTATACTTGAGTGGACGATTCACTTAGATGGAAGTTTGAGACATCAGCGTAGAGTGTTTGTACCACAAGATGAGTCACTTAGAGAAAAAGTTCTAAAAGAGTTCCATCATTCGGTGTTCGTAGTACACGCAGGAGGGATGAAAATGTACCAAGACTTAAAACGCCAATACTGGTAGAACGGAATAAAGAAAGATGTGGCTTAATTCGTAGACAAATGCCTTACGTGTTAGCAAGTAAAAGCAGAACACCAGCGACTTGGAGGAATGCTTCAGCCTTTGCCGATATCAAAATGGAAATAGGAGCATGTAACAATGGACTTCGTCACTGGATTACCCGGGTCACCTAAGGGACACGATGCTATATGGGTCATAGTTGATCGTTTGGCAAAAACTGTGCACTTTTTTTCATATAAAATCTCAGACACTTTGACATCAATGAGTCATCTCTAAATTAAAGAAATTGTCCGGCTACACAGAATTCCTATATCAATTATGTCAGACCGAGACCCACGTTTCACCTCCCGATTCTAAGAAAGCTTAAAAAAAACGTTAGGGACCGAATTATGTTTTAGTACCACCTTTCATCCTCAAACTGACAAACATTCGGAACGCACCATTTAGACTTTGGAGGACATATTGAAAGCTTGTGTGATGGATTTCCAAGGGAGTTGGGAGCAACACCTACCGTTGGTGGAGTTCTCGTATAACAATAGTTTCTAGGCCTGCATTGGCAGGGCTCCATTCAAAGCACTATACAGTCGGCCTTGTAGATCACCATTTTGTTGGATTGAAGTTGGAGAAGCGAGCCTATTGGGCCTAGAGATCGTGCAAGAAACTACAGAAAATGTGAAACTTATTTGACAAAGATTGGTGGCAGCTCAAGATCGTCAGAAGAGTTATACAGATAAAATGAGAAGACCTCTAACTTTCACTGTTGGTGATAATGTTTTCTTAAAAATTCAGCCCCGCTGAGGGATCATTCGTTTTGGAAAGAAAGGAAAATTATCACCTCAATATATCGGACACTTCAAGATACTTCAGAAAATTGGAGAGGTTGTGTACAAATTGGCTCTATCCCCGCAATTGGCTGGAGTACGTGATGTTTTCCACGTATCTATGCTGCGGAAATACATAATGCACCCTTCTCACATCATTAACTAGGAAGAAATCCAACTCAACGAAGACACTACATTTGAGGAGGGACCAGTAGCAATTATGGACAGACAAGAAAAGAGCTTAAAAGGAAAGACAATTCAACTTCTTAAGATACTCTAGCGTCACTATGGTATTGAAGAGTTCACCTAGGAACATGAAGACGCGATGCAGGCAAATTAACTACAACTATTTGAGACGTGAGGTATGATTTAATTTCGATGACGAAATTTATTTAAGGGGAATAGGTTGTAGAGACCCTAAGTTTTGGTAATAACACATGAAACCCTAAGCCTTAGGTTAATAGCATTTTAGCCCCTAGTTTCGTAAAAGTCTGCAAAATGGCCCAATAAAGAATAATTTTCCCGTATATTATCATAATTAAATCCTAGAACACCACCTTATAATTGGAAATACCCTAAAACTTGGTTTTTACTTATTTTACCTCGT